CCCCAACAACTGCTGTCCAAAGTGTTGCCCTGTGTCTTTTACCCTTTATCTATCTGGTTTTGAACCTTTATAAACCTTGAGTTCCCAGGCAGGGAGAAAGTGACGTATAATGACTTAGACTGTAAAAAATGAGGATTCCAAAACATTGCACTAGTAATAACTTGGAGATTTAGTACTATGGTGAGCTATCTGCTGCATTATAGTTTCAGTTTCAATTCCGTTTCAGTTTAATTTATTTATAGAGCACATTTCACACAACAGTAGTTGAACAAAGTGCTGAACAAAATCAAAATTAGCTAAAACCTACATACTATACAAACAACAAAGACAAAAGAAGCTCCTATAACTGAGTTAAAAGCCAAAAAAAAATTGTGTTTTCAAACGGACTTTAAACGAATAATGTGTTGGGGCCAGATGAATATGCAGAGGCAGGGCATTCCACAGTTTCCGAGCTAAAACCGCAAACGCCCCATCTCTCCCATGTTTTAGTTTGGATTTCGGGACCACAAGGAGAGACTGATCAGCCGATCTAAGTGCCCTAGAAGGAACTTGCGGACTTAAAAGGTCAGAGAGATAAGTTGGGGCCAGGCCATTTAATGCTTTGTATGCAAACAATAAAATCTTAAAATCAGTGCTGAAGCGCATTGGGAGTCAGTGAAGAGAGACTAGTATGGGAATAATGTGGCTTATGAGTTCCAGCTACAAGCCGAGCTTTCTCATTTTGAGCCAGTTGTAGGCATGAGAGGGAGGCTTGGCTAACACCAGCATACAGGGAGTTGCAGTAGTCAAGCCGGGACGACATAAACGCATTATAGAGAGAGAACTAGTTTTGATTTTTATTTTGTCAAAGTATTTTTATGACATGTTATATATATTTACCTTATCAAAATTCCTTTGCTTCTTGTCTAGATTGGCAGCTAATGCATTTGCTCGTTCTACATCAATCATGAGGTCCTCCACCTCACCCTGCAGTCTCTGTTTGGTCTTCTCCAGAGAAGCACATTTGGCACTGACAGCCTCAATAGATTCCTCTGCATCCTGCAGACGCTGAGCAAGCTTTTTCCTGGAGTGAAATTTTCACGTCATTTAAATTATGACTTTGACATAAATTAATGAACTTGAAGTTGTCAGATGTGGTTTATTACTTGGCCTCCTCGAGCTCCTCAGTACGCTGGATGGCATCAGTCTCATATTTGGTCCTCCACTGAGCCACCTCACTGTTGGCCTTGGACATTCCACGCTGCAGTTCAGTCTTGGCCTCCTGTTCCTCCTCATATTGCTCTCTGAGGAGGTCACAGTCATGACGAGCTGACTGTAGAGCATGGGCCAGGGCGTTCTTGGCCTAAAAGTCAAAAGGCTTAAATACAACTGAAAATGCCTACAATCATAGCAGAAGCATAATCATTTCATAATACAAATTTATAGAACTTTTCAGTCTGAATTTCAGAAGTTCTCATCCCTTTAGCAAAATATTTTAGTGTTCACATTTCAAATGAAAAACTGTGCTTTTTTAACGTTTAATAAGAAATTTATTAATAAAGTACTACACAATCATCACAACATTTTTATAGTTACCTTGACTTCCTCTTCAATGTGTCTCTTCAGCTCCTCAATCTGCTGTGTGTAGGCCTGTTTACCTCTAGTCAGCTGGGAAACAAGAGTTTCTTTCTCCTCAAGCTGACGACCAATCTCACCTAAAGAAAAGGAGCATAGTATTTATAATTTGTTATATTTGTTACCAAAAAGCAGTCTGCATTTTGCTTACCATTCTCGGTTTGGAGTCTTCCTTTCTGTGCACTCAAGTCATTCAGTTGACGAATGTTTTCATCATTCTTTGACTTGAGTTCACTTAGTTGATCTTCAAGGGTGCGGCACATTTTCTCCAAGTTGACCTGTCAGAATGTATAGATTTATGAAAATAGAGACTGTTATCAAATTCGCTTTCATTACCCTGAAGATCCTAGTTTCCTCATACCTTTGATTTTGCAACAGCCTCCATGTTGCTGCTCAGGTCATCGATTTCCATTTTGTATTCACTCTTCTCCTTCTCCAGCTTCTGCTTGACACGCTGAAGGTTGTCGATTTGTTCCCCCAGCTCTGCTACACTGTCAGCCTGCTTCTTACGGAGGGCAGCAGCTGTAGCCTCATGCTGCAGGGTGGACTCTTCAAGATCACGGCGCAGCTTCAGGAACTCAGCCTCACGTTTCTTGTTCATCTCGATCTGAGCAGACGTTGCACCACCTGCTTCCTCAAGCCTCTCACTGATCTCCTCAAGTTCCCTGGACAGATCAGCCCTCTGTTTCTCAACCTTGGCCCTGGCAGCACGTTCAGCCTCAATCTCTTCCTCCAGCTCCTCAATACGAGCCTAAAATACATGACAGTGTGTAAGTCATAGTACTAGATAGCTCCACATTGTTCATTTGAAGTACCAAGAGTTTACCTGCAGCTCTTTAATCCTTTTCTGAAGCTGAGCACCCAGTGTCCGTTCATCCTCAATTTTACTCAGAAGCTGGCTAGTCTCAAAGTCCTTCCTGTGGACAACAATCACACATTCTCAATATTCAGTATCAATTTTAAACTTGGGGATAAACTACGGACTGAGAATTTCTCACAGTTTTATTTTAACAATATTCTTACTTCTTTATCTTCTCCTCTGACTGCTGCTTATCATTCTCCAGGTCCATTATAGATTCCTGGGCAAGTTTCAGGTCTCCCTCAAGCTTTCTCTTGGCTCTCTCAAGATCAATCCGTAGTTTTTTCTCTTGTTCCAGAGAGCCTTCAAGCTATAGATGAAATTGCTTATCAGTGTTATGAAATAGCAAAAAAATATATTTGCCAAATAAAGTTTGTACTCCAGAATAACACCAAAAAAACACAATATTTACATACATCTTGATAGTTAACGTCTACCGTATTAACTATAGTTTTCAACTAGACTAGTATAATGGCAATTATACATTATATAAATTGTATGTATATATTTGTTTTTCTTACATCATCCACTTGCTGTTCAAGTTTGGTCTTGGCTTTGGTCAGAGTGTTGACTTTGTCTTCTTCTGCTTGGAGATCATCCAAAATCTGTTGATGTGCCTCTTGGAGGGCTTTCTTCTCCTTGGTCAGCTTTGCATTGCTCTCATCCTGAGTGGCCATCTCCTCAATCAAGTTTTTGACCTGAGGGGAAAACATTCCATATTTGGTTACAAAGAGTTAAGTAAATTAGTCAAAAATTTGAAATTTAAAATGATTTAAAATTAACCTTGTTTTCTGTGGCATGTTTCTCCTTCTCCACTTTAGCCAAGGTCAGCTCCAAGTCATCTATGTCTTTCTTCAGCTCAGAACATTCATCCTCCAGTTTCCTCTTCTTGGCAGTCAACTCAGCATTGATTTCCTCCTCATCCTCCAGCCTCTCATTTGTCTCTTTGAGTTTTCCTTCAAGATGTATTTTACTTTTAATTAGTTCCTCACACCTTTCCTCTGCATCTGCGAGATTTTCAGCTTCCTAAATGTAAAAAGAATTAAAGTAATTTTTTTAAGCAGTAATATCAAAATGATTTTTAAAGAGTTTTTATGAGTCATAGTGATCAGTTGACAGATTATTTACATACCGACTGCACTTGTAACTGCAGGTCATTCTTCTCCTGCAGCAGGGAAACCATTTTCTCCTCCAGCTCCTTCTTCTTGGCCAGTGCTTTCGCCAGCTCTTCTTTGGTCTTCTCAAACTCCTCCTTCATGTTGGCCATTTCCTTCTCAGTTTCTGCACTCTTCAGGAGTGGCTTGATCTTGAAGTACACCTTCATCCATGGCCAGTGTTTCACATTCATGAATGAGCGGATGTTGTATTGGATGCTGTAAATGGACTCTCTGAAGTAGAACCACAAGAGGATTGAATTAGCAAAGAATGAAATATTTTTGGATGGTTCAGAATTTTATTCTAAACGTTTCAGTATTTACCTTCTTTCCATCATCTGCATAAACTCTCTTCTCATCAGGAAACCACGGCACAGAGCTTGAGTCATAGTGATCAAAATCGCCAGTTTCTCATCTCGCATCTCCTCTAGCTGCCCCAGCAGACCAGCTTTGAAGAACACCTGGCGACAGATGTGGTAGATATTAGATAAATAACAGGATAATGAATCCAGCAATGTGTGTTAGAAATTGCATGATACAGATTATATCTCCAGGCTTTTACCTTGGTGTGGCCAAACTTGTACTGAGTGTGGTCCACATCAATTGAACCCAAGAGCTTCTCTGAAGCCTTCTTGTTATCAATGAACTGCCCATCCGGAATCACACTAGCATTCAAAACTTTGTATCTGAGTCAGGAAATATTTAAAAAAATATGTATTCTTTACATTATATTTATGGTCCATTTTAACTATTATTTATAGATATATAATCCAAGGATATTTCATTAGGAAATTTATTCTCTTGATAAAGTAAGCCTTAGAATAGAAGTGTGTAATATGACCTCTGCTTGAAGTCACCATAGAGGATTCTGCTGGGGAAACCCTTTCTGCAGATCCTGATACCTTCCAGCACACCGTTACACCTCAGCTGATGGATAACCAGGAAGTTCTCCATCAGACCTGGAGGATAAATTAAAGTAAAGGAATTATACATAAAATCTGAATAAACCTAGTGAAACTCCTTTAATATTGATGTTTATGCAGTTGATATAATGTACAGTCCTGTACAAACCTGGTGTCTTTGATTCGTTTGGAATCAGGCAGCGCACAAAGTGAGGGTGAGTGCTTCTCAGGTTGGTCATCAGCTTGCCCAGGTTCTCCTGTAGGATGACAGGATGTCTATTGTTTATTGAAAAATCCTAGCCAGACAGAATCAGTTCTTAGTGTGGTTGTTGACACATTTAGCTAATCAGTCATGCCCCATGTTTGTAAGGCCTTACCCTTGAATTTATGTGTTAGTGTGTGTGTGTGTGCGTGTGTGCTGTATTGGTCTCTAAGTGCCCCAAGAACCACTCTCCCACTGTCCATTCATCCATGCATCCATCCATCCATCTTCATCTATCCATCTCTCCAGCCACCTCCTCCAGCTCCACCAGGGAAATACCAAGGTGTTCCCAAGTCAACCAAGAGATTTAATCTCTTCAGCATGTCCTGGGTCTGCCCCAGGGCCTCCTCCCAGTTTACCATGTCTGAAACACTGAGCCTAAGGCTGAGCCTAGACACCCTGCGGAGGAAACTCATTTCTGCCGCCTGTATTCGTGATCTCAATCTTTCCATCACTACCCAAAGGTCATGACCATAGGTAAGAGTAGGAACGTAGATCAACTGGTAAATTGAAAGCTTTGCCTTCTGGCTCAGTTCCCTCTTTAACACAACAGAAGGGTACAGTGTCCACACATACAGTATAGAACTGCACGATGTCACATTACATGACAAATGTTTTGCCTATCATCTAAAGCCCTGGTGATTATTGCGTATGCACCATATATTCACAAATACATTCTGATGTGATATTGTGCAGCCTTGCTTCCATTTCATTACATTTGTTTGACAGAAGAAATGCCTTTTGAAGAGTTACTTTTTTTGGTAGCTGTGCAGCAAAATAGCTTAGCAACAAGATAGTGTGCTATAATAACAGCTGCTGAAAAATAAAATAAGGCAAGATAGAAATTATTCTTATATCTGTGGTACAAAAGTATAAACATCAGGCATTCAAATTGGGTTGTGTTGAAGTCTTCACAAAAATTCATAAAGATTTCCCATATAGGCCTAGCAATCTGGATCAAGCTACTTAATAGCATTCAAATTTTTATTTGTGGGTATGAGATCAGTGCCATCTCTTACCAACAGTAATGTCACAATGCATTCTCATATTCTTCACATATAGCAAGTAAACTCTTAGAAGGTTTCCTTCAGTGAAATGTAACCATACCCTGAACAGAGCAGACACTGTCTGGAAGGAGCCACCCTTCTTCTTGCCCTTCTTCCCTCCACCACTCTCTGCGCACAGAAAAAGTAATCAAGCATAAATGTTGTTAGTATTAACATTAAATATGTCTTTCTCTGGTGGCTTACCATCTGAGAAAAGAAATCTACTTGACAACAACTCAACTAGATTGCTTTCTTGTAATAGGCTATTGTAGGGCATATACATAACAAAACTATGGAAATAATGAAAATGTGTAAAAGTACCATCTGATGATGAATGAGCTGCATACAGATGTGCCAGTAGTTTCATTGATGACTTCTGATAGAGTTGCACGACAGAGTCATTCAGTGGGTCCTTGTTCTTGTCCAGCCAGCCGATGATGTTGTAATCCACAGTGCCAGCATAGTGCACCAGGGAGAAGTGGGCCTCAGCTTTGCCTTTGGCAGGTTTGGGCTTTTGGAAGGCAGCAGATTTTCCCATATGTTGGTCATACAGTTTATTTTTGAAGCTTGTGTCTGTAGCCTTGGGGAACATGTACTCCTCTTCAAGGATGGAGAAGATGCCCATTGGCTGTTGAAAACATAATTAGACAGACAGATTATTGAAACCAAATGAGGAGAAAAAGGAGGACTCACATATCACAATATCCATATCACATACCTTCTCAATAAGCT